CACTTTCTGCTATATTTTGTGGACATTCAGTATATACTGATTGGGGATGTACAATATTTGTCTTTTATAGTCTGACTTATTTGACTTAACATTAAATCTTCCAAATTCACATACTTTATATTGAATGGCAGTCTTGCTGTTCTTTTTGGCTAAGTAGTATTGCATAGCGTGTATGAATCATGTTCATTTCAGTCCAGTCATCATTTCTCGGGCATTTAGGTTGATTCACTGTCTTCACAGTTGTGAATAATGCTGCAATAAGCATGGATGTGCAAATGCCTTTCCCGTTGAGAGTTTTCCTATCCTTTGGGTATTTACCAGGGAGTGGGAGTCATATGGTATTGGGTTGTTGGGAAAGTCATGTCATATTTTTCTGTGCAAGAATGTGTCATGACTTTTACGAAGACCCAGAAGTTCTATTTGTAAATTTTTGAGAAGTTTCCATACTGTTTCCCACAGTGGGTATACTAATTTATATTCTCAACAGCAGTGTGGGAGGGTTCCCTTTTCACCACAATTTTTTTTTTTTTTTTTTTTTTTTATTAAAGCCATTCTGATTTGGGTTAAGTGATAGCTCTTTGTGGTTTCAATTTGCATTTCTCTTATAATAAGACAACATTTATTTATATGCATTTTGGTCATTCATATATCCTCAAGAGTTGTCTGTTCATCTCATTTGTTCATTTTAAAAATTGGATTATTAAGTATTTTGCAGGTGAGCTTCTTTAGGGGACTAAAGCTGAATCTTTAGCTGAAATATAGTTTGCAGATATTTTCTCTCATTCTGTGGGTTGTTCTTTCACTCTGTTGTTTCCTTGGCTGTGCAGAAGTGTTTGAGCTTGATGTAATCCCACTTGTCTATTTTTGGAATTGTTGCCTGGTCATTACAGGTCTTATTTAAGAAATCTTTTTACTACTCCAGTGTCTTCAAGTGTTCCCTCTGTGTTTCCCACAACTAGTTTTTTTTCCACAGTCTGATGCATTACATTTGGATCTTTGATCCTTTTTTTTTTTAATGGTCAGAAACAGGAGTCCAGTTTCATTTTTCTGTAGGTGGATATTCACTTCTTCCAGGACCATTTACAGAAAATCACCATTTACTTTTTTCCACTGAGTTGTCTTGTGCACTTTGTCAAAAACCGATGGGTTTTATGTTTTGAGGTTCATGTCTGGATTCTTGTTTGATTGGTTTATGTGTCTGTTTTTGTGCTAGTACCATGCTGTTTTATCACAGCTTTATGATATATTTTGAGTTTGGGTAGTAGATGCCTTGTACTTTATTCTTTTTGCATAGCACTGCTGTGATGATACATGGTATTTTATGATTCCAGACAAATTTTATGACTGTTTCTCCTATTTCTGTGAAGAATGCCACTGGTAATTTGATTGGAATCATATTGAAATAGTGAATTATTTGGGTAGAATTGACATTTTAGTTATATTGAGCCTTCCAATCCAAGAACAAGGGATGACTTTTTTTTTTTTCTTTTTGGTATCATATTCTATTTCTTCTTTTA